CTTCTCATCTTGCAAACAATATCACTAAATGATCCTCAAAAGTTATACAATGTGTCCTCCTGTCCCAACATGACTTCATTCCAAACTGCCAAAGACAAGTGCCCCGTCTTATCCTTAAAACCTTCCTGAGGAGGAGGTTGTCATATCTTCCCAGAACTCTTTCTCTCTCTGGTATAAAAGTTCACTGCTTCAGCAACTACCTTCTCATTCCCTTCTCCACCTCTGTCACTTACCCACTTTCTTTTAACTGCTCTGTACTTACTGATTTTTTCCCTCCAATTTGTTCATTTTGAAGGTCAGTCCTTGGGTTTTGTTCTCATAAACCAGTGGGAGTTGTTGGATGCTAGAAGCCAGCCTATAGCCATGAACATCTCATCCCACAAGCTACATAAAGGCCACATCAAACCATCTATCATCTGAAGGTAAGATTGGGTTCCCCTTAGAAGTGGTTCTCTCAATTAGTATTATCGTCTTTAGCAACATTCAAGAATAGGTCCTATCTATCTTGGTAGGGGGAAAAATTCACAGGTAAAATGATGAACATAGGAAATTATTCTTTCTTTTGCTTTAATAGAAAACATTTCTTGTTCATGTAAATTAGTTAAAATGGCCAAAAATGCATTTAAAATTTTAATTCTTCTCTCTCATTTTTAGATATCTAGGATAGTATTAACACCTTAATTAGGACATCTTTAGTTGCTTAAACCTGGTTTTAACAACATCCATATTTTTCTATTCTAATAGACCGAAAGAACCAAAATGAAAACTTTAAACTACTTTGTGGATAGACTTTTCTGTCCTTAGACCTGACTTGTTTATTTGGTAGTAAAACAATGCAAAATACTAATAATAAAGATATTCTAATGGTATGGGAAGAGAGTTATGAAAAAAAATGCTACAGGATTTTCATCTGATTAAATGTTGCTTTCTGGCATGTGATATATAAATGAAAAATTATATATAAATATACATTTCTCAGGTTGCACTTTTTTGTTGACTTGAAAAGATTTATTAAAATAATATTCAAGTTATTTTCTTTTAACTGGATGCCCCTCAATTTTCTGACCAAGTCAAATAAAAATATTTCTGACTTTCACAAACAGAAAAATGGTTGTTTGATACCTAAATATGCAATAGACAGACAATCTTAACAAAAGGCAGGCTGACAAAAGAAAGTATGAATTTTGTTCAATTTGATATTCTGGTGCTTGCTTTGTTGACCTAGAAAATTACAGTGACAGTGAAACAATTCTGCAGTGAGTTCACTAGAGAAGGCTAAATATGACCAGGAAAAGTCTCCAACTCATTCTACTCATTCTACCACTATAAAAAGATGTGTATCCATGGGAACCACAATCCCTAACAGGGAAGTGTGGATTTGACACCAAAAAAGGTATGAATGTTTTCTGGAATGGGGGAAAAAAAACAAAACAAAACAATGGATAATGCCATTGGGATTTTAAATTAATAATTTTAACTAGAATGCTATTAATCAACTGATATATGGGACGGACTCCTAAAAGATGATGAGAGATTTTTGGTGAACGGACTAGGAGGAAAGCACATTATTAGCGAGTAATTGACTGGGATGAACATGCCTGACTGTCATTCTGGTAGCAATCTGTTAGCAGTTAATAGGAAGCTACAAGCTCAAGGATGATGAGATGCAAAGACCACCCTAAAAGTAAAGGTATAGGAAGCCACTGGAAATACCTCTATTGTTAAATGTTAGTCTTTTCAGCTGCTCATTAAAATTTGAGGAGCACTGATGATTAGATTTGAGGCCCAAATTGGGTACTTAGCTGTGTGTTCCCAATTTTGTCTTGTTTTAATGTGACTTGAAAACTGACCTCCTTTGAAGCTGTTAAGTGTGCAACAATGTCAGCCTGATGAAGCAGGCCTTTCTGGTTAGTCGTGGGGGTACTTACCCTTCATATAGAAGGAATTTTACGGGGAACATGTATATCAACATTGACAAATTAAGAGATTTGCAAAAATCAGAGGCAGTTTTAAGAATATTGCATTTTTAAGAATATTGCATCTAATAAATTCACAGTTTTCATTCACATCATAAGACAAGTACAAAGGGAATAATGAACAAATTTCCTTAGAAATTTAGTGTTTGAATTTTTTCCAGACTCATTTATTGGGTCCATTGGAAAGTAAGAAATATTTTAATTTATTAATTTCCACTTGTGATAAGTATACTGGAAAGTTTTATATATATCACCTTTCCAATTTGATGAAAACCTTCCAGTTTTTCAATTAAAAATTCTTTAGTAGATTATAATTTCACAGACCTTTGCTACCTTCTGATTTCAGTTCAATGTTTGCCAGTGATGCTGGTGGCTAATCAGGTTGGAACTGTCATTCTAGGTGATATATACCCTCTCCTCCCTCTCAAAGATTTTTTTCCTACATAAATTGATTTCACTAAAGGAAAAAGGTGAGTTTTGATTAGCAAGATAAAGCAAAGGTATCATTAGAAGAAGAACAAATCTCTGTGATGTGATTTAAAAAAGTGCATAGATGGGCAATCACCATCATTAGGAAATTTCAGTCATTCCCCTACAGAAGAAAAGAGCTCAGTTATAAATATATACACCACCTTCATATGTACTGATTAGATTCATTTAACTATGTTTTCTAATGTGAGGATTTGTTAATATATTTGCTGCTAATTTTGCTTATAAGTATTATACTATTAGCAGGCTTGAATTGAATTAGATTGTGAGATGCTGCACACTTCGGGATTTAAGTCAGGTGGACAGATGTCTTTCTCAGCTCTGCAAATCTTGTTCTTATTGCATCTTTGATTACTGCAGCAGGCATTACTCCTGGGACATTCTCCAAGGTAATTTTTTTTAATTATTAAGTTTTCCTTAATTATAGTTGTTTGCTTTAAGCTAAACTGGCAATCCATCTACTTTGAAGAGGGGGACTTTTTCACATCTCATTTTGGGTAAAGAATCATTTTTTAAAGCTAGATACAGAGGTTTATTTGATAATCATATAATTTCAAGTTGTTTATGTTGTTTTGGCAGCCAGTGCTGCATCCTAAACTCAAACCCATGGAAAGCTGGTGTAGAAGCAGACAAATACTAGATTTTCTAAACAAGACTCATTATTCTTGAGTGTGTGGCTTTAGGAGCTAAGATATCCTAGTTTGGTAATTTTTAAATAAATTATTTTCTCACATCTACCTGAGAGAGTGTGATAGATGTAACTCTTGTAACATCCTCTTAGAACAGAAAATGGTGGCAGCATTTCAACAAAGAAATCCCCTGTTTTGCCTCAATTAGCTAGCTAGTTTTGGAAAACAATTATTTGGCTTCTCTGATTCCTTTATGCACTGCTTTTTCTTTTAGGGAGTAGACTCTGTTCAGAATAATTATTGTGGGCCAGTGCATCCTCAGTTTTAACTATGCATACTGTGCATACTGGCCCACAGGAAGAAGTTTATAGTTTTTGCTCTTAGAAAGTTTACCTACTTAAGCCCAGGAAACCGAGCATTGTGGAAGAAAAACATAATATATTACAATGAAAATTTTCATTTTCTTCATAATTTATAATGACCGATTAAATGCCTTCTCCAGACCATTTGCTCAACAGCATTCATATCATGCTCTCAACTTTTAATTATCCTTATGTTTCACACATTCTTTTACCCAAACTAGTCCTCCTATCATCAACTGAAGTTGTATATTTAAACTTTACCTTGTCAAACTATGACGACATGGTTGTTGAAAAAATTCATTAAAGGTGATTTCTTACAAAGTGAAGTCATAATTTTGGTATAATTTTGATAGAGTAGAATAGGAAATGCATGTTTGAAATCCTGTGAATGGGAAATCTATGCATGAAAAAAGGTAAAACTGAAAGCTGACTCCTCCAAAGAGAGATAGGAGTACAGAGAGAGAAGCAATGCATTCATCTCTGAAACTGTTACCACATCCATTATGAACTCAACTAGGAATGAACAATGATGGTTATAAGTGACCTGAATGACTTTTATTTTTAAAAATGTTATCAAAATCTCTCCAGCTTCATTACCTTTAACTGTAATTCATAGTTCAGTGGTACAATTTGCTCATATTTTTTTACTTATATTTTACTCAATGCCAAAAGGATTCTCAAATTGGTCTTTTCCTGTTAATTATACTTGCAAGATGATACAAATAAAGTTTTAGAGAACTCTTTGCACTTCTTGTATCATAACTCACTTGGGGATATAGTTAGATGTCCATATCCCCAATGGAGGATAATTCTTCCTCCATATATTAATATGTATTCTGGTGAACCTTCTTAAACCCAAAACTCAATGTGCAGAACTGTTGAACACAATGGAACCCTTAAACACACACAGTTGTGACATGAAAACTCTTAACTTTTATAATATTAGTTGTTTCATAAATGATCAAGATAGACATTGAAAATCCAGAAGTAGCTTGACTGCCCATACCTGACTAGTATCTGGTGGATATTAGCCCAAACAGTTGACAGTAGCTACAAATATCTAGAGAATGATTTTTTTTCCCCGCTGTTGAAGGAATTACACATCTGCCAGGTTAGATGAGATAAATACGTATATAGAGATTAAATTGGAAAGTATTTTTATGAAATTTTTTGTTTGCATTGAAAACCAAGTCAAGAGCTTATGTCAATGTTTTAATTCAAAGGGTGCATTTAATCGAAGAGAGTGAGTATACTTAACCTATTACAGATGAACTTCAGAAATGAATGTAAGATATTCTGTGAAAGGAAAGGCTGAATGACACCTGGATATTTCATTCATTCAATAAGCATATGTTGGCCATACAGAAATGACAATGACAAGATCCCAAATATATGTTGCTCATGTGGGTTAGGGTTTCAGTGTTTTACATTATTTGTGAGTTAAATTCTAAGTTAGTAAACTTACAGAACTAATCAAGTGTGACAATAAAGGAGTGTGTTTAGCCAGGACTTTGTAATATACACACTAGAGTAGAACAGTGGTTTCAGTAGACTTGTCTTCCTCTGAATTCACTCATGACTTGCACTGGGTGGATTTTTTTCTTTGCTGAGCCTCGTCTGACAGCTGCATAAGTTTCCTCTGGTTTCTCTCTTTTAATCAAGGGCTTTTTTGCAGGAGCCTTCATTCTCCACATCACAACTGGGTGCCGGGGCCCAGTGGGACTCTGAATTCGGATGATCTTGGTTGAGGCAATGTAAGACATTTTCACTGTTTGCACTACAGCATTCATTAAATTTTTGGCTGCTTGGATCAGGGAGGTGACACTGTCCAACTGTAGGGGGGAAAAGAAGCTATTATTTGAGAACATAATCAGGAATTTAAAGAGATTTAATCTTGCAGAAAGTGAAATGTGTGACACTTGTTTTTACCCCAGAAATGACAGTTATTTTATCTCAGAAATAAATGAGTTAATTCATGTTTTATGTATCTGTGTAAATTATCACATCAATCTATGTTAATCATTTAGTTATCTATCTGACGCATAAATAGATCCATATTCTAAGATGATATCTTAGGTTAATTTTTATTCTTGGTTTTCAGTGAACTCTATAGCTTCTATATCATATCATATATGATATATATCATATCATAAGGACTTTACAGCTTTCTTTGTCATGGCTCTCCATTTTTCCAGGGTTAATGTTGACCCCTTGTATAAGAGATGACTATCTACAATAAAAGCTCTATCATGTATAAGTAACTTAGTAAGAACAACTGAAAAGTCTTAGGGAATTCATAGTCTAAGATAAATAATATATATATATATACATACATACATGTAAACCACTAATTTCCATGAATATTTCCCAAATAATTCCACCTAAAAGAGTCTTTTAAACACAGAATGATTAATCTATCATGCAGAATATTAAAATAGATAAAACCAAGGCCTTATAGTCAAATCTGGTTTAAATTCCAGGACTGCCATTTAATAATATAAACAAATCATTTAATTAACTTCATTCTAGTTTTCTCAGATATTAAATAGGAAAGAAGTGTTTATTAAAGTTAAATAACATATATAAATAACCTCATAGAGTGACTGTCAGTTATTAAATATTTCCTTTGTTTCTTGTGAAGGTTGAGAAAATTGCTTAATCATATACTAGTGAAATTTCTAAAAGAAACTTTTCCCACATAACTCTATTTTGTAACTGTTTTGTTTTCTGGGTTGTTCACAAAAACAGTCTCTGGACAAAATGAGGTGATATTCCTAGACTCTTGCAAAATACTTTAGGGCTAGCCAAGCTGGTTTGTTTTTATATAACTAGTGCTTCCTCCATCATTTTAGTTTGGCAGATTGTCATCTGCAGCAGATTCACACAGGAAGATGTGCCTCTACCATCACCCCCATGACGTGTGCTGTCAGGATTGAGGCCCAAACAGTGGCTCTGTAGATACTGAAATCCATCATCAGCTGTCTGGCCTAAGTACTCTACCTTTGTGGTTCAGGGAGTCTCATCTCACATACAGAATAAATGAGTGAAGCAAAGTAGTAAGCTGAGGTTATGTGCCTGGGGCAGTGGTCTAGCTGGCTGCTTTCATGGGAGAAAATTTAATTAGCTCCATTATATGCCCAGCCTGAAATCCTTGAAAAGGTAACACCAAACAATATGCAATTTGAGAGGCAGTGATACTTGGAAATTAAACTCTAAATCTTTTTATTTATTGAAGCCAGGAATGTAAAATCTGTGCATGTGGCAGGAATGACATTTTTTTTTTATCGAAAATTAAATAAGATTTCATGAAGCACTCACACTCAAATGTTTTTCTGTATTTCAGAAAACATTTAGAACTTCTGAATCTGTACACAACTTTAAATAAAAAACAACTAGACTTTGAATAGAATAATACACTTTGTTATTAAGGTTACTCTATGGACACATTGCAGGCTAAAATCTGTTGTTTAATAATTAGCAATTTTCATTAAAGGCCTCCTGCAGCTAGTTAGATTCTGAAAGTCATTTTCAATCTCACCATAGGAAGAAAAAAGTTTTTCTAAATGACGAACATGAATAGTAATGAGGATCCTTGGTAATTTTCTCCTTCAAACATGAAACTCTTTGGTTTATTCCACGGGCTCTGTGCTATCATTAAGTCTTCCATAGAAGGTCCTAGTGACCTTCTGTCATTCAAGATTTCACCAGGGGCTCTGGTCTTCCCACCCTGAAACTTACATTTTCTCCTTTTGACTCTGTAATCTTGTCATGTATAGATTGTATTTAGTTTCTTTTAATTTTTCCATATGAGTGGGTTTTATATATAAACCTATTCTTGAAGGATGGCGAAATTAAACTTGTGCCTTAAAATGTGGAAATCAACTTGTCTTCTTCCCTCACTGATTCAGCAAAGCTTTGTCTGTACCATTGTGATCTCTTATGCTGGCCTCTGACAATTTATTTTAAAATCCTAAATGACTGTAGTAGGATTTCTCCTCCATCAGGCTGAAAAAAACACAGGACAAATCATCCCCCTAGGAGAGCATGAAGACTAGTTTTGCAGACAGATTAGGACAATTGCTGAAAGAATACTGTTATTTCATGAGGAAAGCTCGTGAGACATTCTATGAGGATTTTTGATGTCCAAGAGCTATGTGCATTAAGATGCCTGCCTTTCTGCTATGAGTCACATCACAGGGCACACAAGCAAGTGCACAGACCAGCCAAGCACATGGTAGGAAATTTTGTTTGAGGTCCTAGCAGTGCCTTAGGCATACTCATAGAGAATAACTGCACAACTTCATGTCTGCAAAAGAAAAAAGTATTATAAGCCCTCTTACCAGGCTTACTTTAATGAAAAATCCTCCAAGGGAAGAATTCAAAATAATTCTCTTTGTGAAAACAAAGCATATTTGAGTAGGGTAATGCATCACTTTGGGTTTTCTGTGTCCAACTTAACAAAATTTTCTGAATTTCACAAATGTACCTGTGCAAATGAGAATGTTGTTTTATTTTAAAGGCTTGGTGGAGTAAACCATTCAGACTATAAAGCTCAAAAATTCTCTACCATTACAAATAACTTTCATCAACTGTAAACACTTCTAGGCAAATGTAACCTGAAATATGTACTATAAAAGGAACTGTTTTTCCTAACATCTGGTAACACTCTTCTCTGATCTAGATGAAGTGTTTTTGATCAAGGTATCAACTGAGAAACAAAACAGCTTCTAAGGCCCTCAAACCTCCTACGGTTGTATGTAAGTATTTGCATGCAAGTACATATAAGCAGGTTCCTGTTGCCTTCTTTCCATAAAAGTGGATGGGGTTAAAAAAAATAAGTTATCAAAGAGGAGTTTGACCTACATTAAAAGCCTCTGATCTATATAAATAGACATACCTATATTCCAACCATAGTAAATAGGAACATAGCCAGTCTTCATATTGTAGTGACTTGTGCTTATTCTTACTACACTGGTCTGGGTTCAAAATAAATGAACTTAATTGATCTATTAATATCACAATAAGATCCTCAATACTGTCCATGTCCAAAAGTAAACTGGACACAGTTCATAAATTCTGCCTTTTTTTTTTTTGAGGATCTAGATGAATATAGAGATTATGCCCAGTATCAGCTTTTGCTAACTGCAAGGATGTATTTTGCAAATAATCAAAATTTAGAATATCTAAATAGAGTCCTTTTCAATATTATCATCCTGTAGGAATCTTAATTTTATTGTAATGTCTCTTTTGTGCTTTGTGGCATATACTGCATGATCTCAGGTAAACTACAGTACAATTCTGCCCAGATCTAAGGATGCTTTCAGGCAAAAGGCTTGGTTCAACTTAGAGATGTATCTGCAAGTCTTTGTTGTGGAAAAGGAGTTTAACAACAACATAAGATATGTTTTTTTTTTTTTCCCTCATAAAAGTGCCAAAATTTTTTACAAAGCCCAAAGTTAAATACCTGTAAATGTAAGTCCTCCACAAATCCATCAGGGTGGAATGTTTGTTGGCAAATCCTTGTTCAGATCTTATTGTAGTTATTGATAGTTACAACAAATATACAAGAAAGACATGCTAGTCCCTCCTTCCTTCAATTGCTTACATTCCTCATCCATGTTCTCTCAGAACACCAGAATGCATTGTCCTTTACTACTCTAACTCCCCACATTCTGGATACGAGGTCTTTATCAGAAATGTGTTTTGCCTGAGGTTTCTAAGCTGCACTCCACTGATGTGTGGCCCATCCCTTGCACCTGGGCTGTCACCTGGGGAAGGCACAGTTAGCTCCCCATCCCTTGTGTGAATTGCCATGGCAACTACTGCTGCTAGACTTCCTGTTGTTGCCTGGAAAAATGTACTTCCTGTCCTATAACCTTCTAGGTAAACTGGTGCCAATGTAGCCTATGAATTCTCATGAGTCTCAATGTTTACCTGAACTTATACACCCCCAGTGGATGTTGCACCTGCACCAAAGCAATCCTTGAAAGGCAAATGTGTGTGGTTTGGCTCCAAGTATAATAACAGCTTATAATAGTTGCTAATATTTATTGTGTGCTTCCTATGTGTTTGTACAGTTCTAAATAGTTGACATCAAATTAACTCAGTAATACTATGAGGTAAGTACCATAATTATCTCCATTTTAAAGATGAGGAAACAAAGGAACTAGAAGGTTTCGTAGCTTTCTTAAGGTGATACAGCTATTAAATGGAAGACCTGGAATTTGAGCCAAAGCAGTCTTGTTCAAATACCTGATACTTTTACCTATTATACAACCCTGCCTCTTAGTAATATGTCACTTGCAACATGTATTTATTTTCAGATATAGCATGGTTGAAGAAACTGTACCTATACAATGCATAAAATTTTGAAAAATGCTATCTAATAACTTTTTTAGAAAGGTTATAGAATTTTTGCAATTATAGAATTTATAGAATTTTTGTATTAAGAAAAATGAGAGTATCTTACTTGTAAGGTATTTTTTTAGGATGGTGGTTTGATTGTGTTTATGCTATCATTTTCCAAGCAGCATTTTATTGAAATAGCAAATAGAAATACTGAGTCATCCTCATAAGTTCCAAGCAGTTTAAAGACTTTCAATGTCACTCTCAATAAACATATCAGTAAGGCAAAGTTAAACCATAAACAAATCATATTATAGCTTCTAAGACATGGAATTATATAACATTTATTTCATATTTAAAATGTAAATATAAAACAAACTTTTTTTCTGATTATCAAACAAAATTAAATTTGTTTGCCCTGGTTTTGAAATAGAAACTGAGATCTGGTCCCCTGATCTTGGGGTTTCTATTTAACCCTTAGTTACTT